AAGAGACGCGATCGCGCGAACACGATCGATGGCGTCGCGCAAGTTGGCGGGAACGTTTCGGCGAAAAAGGACCGCGGGGCTCACCTCGCGCGTTTCCCCGAGAAAGGCGACCGAATGCGGGCGTCAACGTCTCTCTTGCCGCGCGTCACGCGTGAAATTCTACACTCGCGAGGAGACACGAACTGAAATCGCGGCCCGGTGTGTTCGCGTCGCGCTCGGATACGGTCGGCGCGACGGCGACGATGCGGCACATTCCCGGCTTCTCGCGAGATACGCGTCTCGGCGGATCGTCGACGCACGAGTGTCGGATCGGCGCGATTACTAACTTGATTGGACGCAACGCCGTTGTGCGAGCCTTCGTGAAACGCGTCGTGGTGGCCGTCGGCGCGGGAGAACGATCCACTGCGCGTCCGTGATGCTTCTCGAATGATTCCAACATGGCGCAGGTTTCTGGCGGTACGACGCGATACTACTCGAGTCGCGTCAACGACGCGACACTACTCGAGTCGCGTCAACGACGCGCGACGATTCACTTCTCACTTCGATATCGCTCGCGCAATTAAACGCGTGAATGCGCACGTTGACGGAAAATCGAGCCTCGTTACGTTTAATTTATTTCGTCTATTTTATACACCACCGAAGGCACAGCAAGCGCCAACGGTAGACGGCGAATACGGCGGTCCGCTTCCCGTACATCGAGCCGAGTAAACGCCCCGAGAAACGAAAGACGTCGTTTTTAATTATTACGCGGAGAACGAGAGCGCACACTGTCCCGTGGCATTCGCCGCGGCCGCGGCGGCTCGAATGCTACTGCGATACATTGACCTCGGCGAGCGGCGCCGGCGGCTCGACGTAAACAACTGCCGAGCGGCACACGCTCGGGTCTAACAAAAACTTATACATATTTTCGACGCGCAAACAAGCAAAAACTGGCGTAACCGTTTCGGTGTTTTTCACGGGCAAACGTACTATCAGTCTGCGTTCTGTCGCGGTGCCGGCTGGTCGCCGTCGCGTACCTGTCTTTCTCTAGAGTGTCGCACGCTCTGTACGAATATCGTGTGCTCTGTTTAGTGTCGTGCTCTGTTCAGCGTCGTGCTCTGTGCGCCAACAATTAACAGCCTGGTTCACACCGATCGTTTAATACGCGTATAAAACAACGTTTACTAGTTGTTCATTGTGCTATTTGATACGTGTATGAAACGTAGACTACGGACTATCAGACTGCGTTCTGTCGCGGTGCCGGCTGCTCGCCATCGCGTACCTGTGTCTCTCTAGAGTGTCGCACGCTCTGTACGAATATCGTGTGCTCTGTTTAGTGTCGTGCTCTGTGCGCCAACAATTAACAGCCTGGTTCACACCGATCGTTTAATACGCGTATAAAACAGTGTATTTCGGCCGATCGGCCAGTGATATTGTTTTTGCGTTGTCGGTTTCCCTGTTCCATTTTCGGGAAGAGAGAGATATATTTGTGCGACTTGGGCGTTCGCGCTGTAATTGTAAATCGCTCTGTCGTTCTTCGCAACTCGAACGGGCAGCAAATAAAGAACGTCGCTTACTGCATTTCACGGTATTTTACATCGCGTACGGGAGTGTACGAAATTTCGCGCGATCGATTTTGAGTACTGCGAGTGTAAGTGCAACAAGAAAATCTGAGAGGAGGAGCTTAAGCCCGTATCAGACTACGGATTGGGATTGGGATTAGATTGAAATTTGACCAATCAGAGTAAAAGTTACTGAACTTGAGATTAGTAAACTTTACTGTGATTGGTTAAATTTCAATCTAATCCCAATCCCAATCCGTAGTCTGATACGGGCTTTAGGCGGCATCGGGCAACGGCAGAGAAATCGTAAGGTAAGTGTCTTACATTTTTATTATTTGCTAATTGTGCAAAATAAAGCACCTGTTCTGTGCTTTTATTTTATTTATTCAAATGATTCGAACGTGGATTCGAATAAGTGTTAGAGACAAAACCATACGTATAATATTTTGCGAGTTCATATTTAAAAGGAAGACTTTCAGTATTCAATATAATTATTTTAATAAATACACATTTTCAAAAATATTAAATATAAAGTATATTTAATACAATAGTCTGGATTTTACATAATTAGTCTATAATAATTAATCGTATACATTTTTGTATTGTTACAGTTTAACATGTATAGTTAGCGATGTACAACTTTGCTGTTGCGAACCGTATATCAGTGAGTGACAAATTACTTTTTATTTTAAATTGACGTTGCGCATACAATTACAATACTTCTTCGCGTCTATACAAATTCTTAAAAATATACAATGCTTGACCACAAACTGCGCGCGCGAAGCGCGCGTTTTATCGTTTCTAGTAAATAGAAAATGTAAATAAGTTAATACCAATGTTATGTATAATTTTTTACACCATTTTCAACGGGTGACGGCTCTCATTGCCTAAACGTTTTCCAACATTACTTTCGTTAATTTAAGTTGTTTACAATAATATTCGTAAGCAACAAGTTATAGATAACATTTTTCGGTGTCACTGCTCGAAACGATAAATACTCAAAGAAAAAAAAGACAAAGTTGAGGAATCTGTTAATAAATGCAGAAATGTTAAAAATGGAACGTAGGGGAAGGAATACAAAGATAAAGAAGATGCTATTGGAAAGATAAATAAAACGAGCACAGTTATAAATAAATGGTAAAATTCATTAATTAATTTCTTCTTCACATCGTAGTACGATAACTTTGTAACATTGCAGACATCAGAGACAATCGAATATATTCAAAGCTTACTAAAGAAATATTAAATAACTCCGCTATAAATATCTTAAGAAAAATCAAAAGACCAAGGTAGAATAAATCGTCGCAGTTAAAATTGTAAATGACGCTTTTCATATCAACTAATAAATTAAAATATATATTTTTACAGAGATTTAAGAAATAATTAATTCAAAAGGGAGCCGTTGCGGCAAATTTCTTCTATAAATATCTTAAGAAAAATCAAGAGTGCAGAGTAAAGTCGCAGTTAAGAAACGCTTTTTATGTCAGTTCGTAAATTAAAGTATTTTCACAGAGATGTATAATAGAAAGTATTCAATTCGAAAGGGAACCGGCAATATTTTTATCAAAAATATTGCTCATCTCTCTTCCAACAAGACGATAAAAATGAGCTTCCGTTGCATAGTCCGAGTCGTTCCATTTCTTTCAAAATAACATTTAATTTCAGCAACTCTAGTACTGTGTACATGTCGTCACCTCCTCTTCAAACGTGGCACCAATTCGACACGCAAATTCGTTATAATATGTCCCTTCGTGTCGTCGATATCACATTTAAACATCGCGACGTTAACATTTAACGATAATAAAAATGTACAGTGCAGATCACTTCAGGCGAGGTAGTTACAGCGACAGGTGTAAAGCCGACCTCGAGAGCTGCTTCCCTCGATGAAACGCGAACAATTCGCAAAGTATTCATCAAATACTCGTCGTGGAAAGATTGACATGTGGAACTACTCCATTCTCGACCGCACTCTGTTTCGACAAGCCGTGCAGCTTCTCCTGTATCTGCTCCAGCGTCTTGCCCTTGGTCTCAGGTACGTAAAGAAGCGTGAATAAAGCGCCGGCGAGGCTGCACCCGGTGAATATCCAGAATGGCGTGTGCGTACCGGCACTTTCGCTTATGACTAGGTACAACTTCGTCACGACAAAGCCTGTGAAATGGGTCATGGCTATGCCTATCATATTGCCGAGGGCCTTGACGTTCGTGGGGAACAATTCGCTGGCCATGGTGAACGGTAGCGCCGCCAGGCCCAGGGCGTACATGACCACGTATAGAATCACGCCGGTGGCGGGCAACCACATGATGTTGCTGGTATCCGCGTGGTTGTATTGGAGATGAAAGTACGCCGCGACCATGGCGGTGGAGCACGCCGAACCAACAGCGGAGATGGTCAGCAATGACTTTCTGCCGCTGCAATCGGTGATCATCATGCAGACGATCGAGCAGATCAGCGTCACGGCGCCTAGTATCATAGTCAAGTACTTGCCTTCCAGACTACTGTTCGCCTGATCGAAGATCATTTGCGCGTACTGCAACACGGCCTGAGAGCCGCTCAACTGTTGAACTATGCCCAGACACAGCAACGTTATTAGGGCTCTGTAAAATCATTCGGTCCAATTATCAATTGGGTCCTTTTATCATCAGAATAATCATTTTTACTTAGTCGAAAATTATGTTTGTTACATATTGTTACTTTATCAAAAGTTAGCTTACAACAACTCCGACCCTAGTAGCACAGTGCATTGGCTAAATATTGGTCCAATGTTGATTATATTAGAAATGCGTTGGCCGATGTTGTCCAAAGTAAAGCCAATATTGGTCATGGAATAAATGTAAATATTGCACGATAATAATTATGTAATATTAGATTGATACTGAAAGTGCTTTGGCCAATATTTAACAATGTAATAAGAATACTGACCTAATAGACATATTGGCTAAATAAGAGGAGGCGTCCATCTTACAATATTGGACAAAATTGGGAATACTAGATTTACATTATTTCCCAATATGACGCCAATATATTGTGCTACTAGGTCGAGTGTCGTGAGTGTCAACACTAAAAATCAATTGATAAAAATATCTTCAATATTCTTTAATCACTACAATAATAATTTATTTAAAAAGAGATTGTGTATACGTAATACTTATTTGTAAAATGCTCAAATCCAATATCTAATATTTTTACTTATTTGTGTTACAGCAAAGGATTTTAAATAATCGCTAACACGACGATATCGAAATTGACGGTCTTACCTGCGATTCCCCGGCACAAACAGGAGTTCACGGAAACCAGCTTCGTTAGCCAAATCGTTCTTTACGGATTGCTCGATACCGTCCGCTTCTTTGTAAACATCCTCTTTGCCTCTCAGTTGAACGAGAGAATTTATGGCTTTCTCCTTGGCGTCGCAGCGCATCAATTGGTACGGGGATTCCGGTAGCCAGATGAAAACGATGACGAATAGGCACGGCACCGCCGAAGAGACGAGGGCGAGATTTCTCACCGAAAGAAACGGACCTATTATGTACTCGATCGAAGTACCGAGTTTCACAGCAACCGTCAGCATGGATCCCAAATTGCCACGGATATCTGCCGGCGAAATCTCACCCAGATACATAGGCGTGGCTGCATAAGAGATGCCCATAGCCAATCCGGATGTAAACCTCGATATATATAGCTCCTGCGAAGCAGATAAGGGACAGGGAGATAAAGGGATTGAACGGGTCAAATTGATCCCCACCTCAGGCAACTTATCTTCCAAATTCAAGAAGATATCTCTTCCCTTTAGAAGAGTAGCGTTATACGAAAACCTAATCTACATATACTACCATAAACACACTTGCTTCTACACAGATAAAAATCGTATACATTTCAGTGAATTTAATTTAAAGGCCAATTTTAGAGTTTAAGTGTTGTAGGCACTTTAGTGGAGGAAAGTCCTCTATTATGAGACAGGATTCTATAATAATATGAGATAGCTGGTTTTCAGCACTTAAATTCAATCACAAATTGAAACTACTCGTATTATATTTGACAAATACAATAAGGAGGCCAAGTTTAACGAGCTATTCGGTTGACAGATTTTTAATATAGATATATTTCACTATAATTACAATTAAGGATATCGGATAGCGAATCAATCACAAATCTTTTTTCTCAACGATTACACGATCTAACAATGAATTTGCCGCAACAGATTTCGCTCCAAGGGCAATCAATTCATGGTGGAATCAACTGATGATGCCTATTAATTTATTCTACCACTATTACATATTAGAATCCTATCTCATAATAGGGGACCTTCGTCTACTCATCTTATCCAAATGAGAGATAGAGCTCGTTTCTTCCAAATGACATTTAGTTTGTATAATTATATATGTTTCAAATATTTTGCGATATCAATTAATTTTGCAGAAGTTTTTTTACGGTGAAATAAACTCTTGCAATTCGTTGTCTCACAAACTAATTGTCATTATAATTGTGTAAGTAATTTTTAAAAGTACTTATTAAAAGCATTGTTTCCTTAATTCCTATTGTGTCTATAATTAATTGGTTTTCTATTGTTATCTTAAAATGTGTAACGAATTTTTAGCATTCTATTACAACACTTGATAAAAACGATAACAATCTGTAAAAAAATGTTGTGCAATCAGCTTTAAAAAATGTACATTATTGCTGACAATGTATTATCTATTGACGAGCACGTTATCAATTTTATCTTAATTTGATTTCTGACGAATCGAAGCGCTTAAAATTATGACAAAATTATCTTATACATACGACACGTGTATGTACAGAAATATCCTAATAAGAAATTAGGATTCGCGATAAAACTGGATAGAAATTAAAATTCGCGAAATAAAATTATCTCTTGAAGATAGAAATTAAATTTCAAGAGATATTTTTATTTAGTGAATTTACTCACCACTAGGTGCTAGGCTAAGTAATTACTTATTCGAAATCTTTGAACTTTAATTCGACGGGTCTGCAAAATCTTTTTCAGGAAATATTACTTAGATAGACTTTCGCAAAAGAAGTACTTCAACAATCATAGGGTGATATAATTGGATAATAATCTGACGATAATATTTCAACAAATGTCAACACATTCATTTCCATATGATCGTCAAATCTAAATCACGTTTTGTAAGCTTATCTCGTTTGTTCGCAAAAAGAAGACTATCTTTCGTCGATTAAAGATTAGCGAGATTAAAGCTTTGATTGCATATCCCAGTGAGACATAGTCTAAAGTTTGAACTGAAAGAGAGTTCGAGTTCGAGCGAATCGTTCTTGAGTCCAAAAAAAGTAGATTGCACCGTTAAAACTGGAGTGTATAATTCAAATGTACTTTTCTAGACCAAACTCTCCGAGGAACTTTGGAAAACTTGGAAGAACTTTGTTTGAAAGACAAGAAGAATAATTGAAATTGCGGCTCAGCGTAGAAATGAATATTTTAATGTTCTTACGCGAATATTTTAATTTCATTTACTTTGAATGCTTTAATACATCCGGCGTATCATTTTATAGAAAGTACTCGGATGTACCTAGCAAATGTAGCAGTTATTAAATTACCCACGGTGATGTTGCAAAGGCTATCAGCAACCAGCCGATTACCGAGGGCGCAGCCGTAAATAGCATGGTGTTCTTCCTGCCGATGACATTCACCATGAATGCAGAAGCAACGCAACCCCCGGTGGCACCCAAAGTAAGTAAGGATGTCACCCAAGAGGCTTCTTCGAAGTTCAAACGTACAGGATAGTCAGTTTCACCACTTAACAGTAAGGGCAAGGATGGCGATGCCCAACCGATAAATAGACCGACTGACAGCATACCTAGATTTCCTATGAAAATAATGGATTTCAAAGAGTATTACATGTGAGTAATTTTATTAACTGTTATTTAAATGGAAGAAAACAGTTGTTACATAAATTTTGTTCATAAAGATTCTTTAAAGCTCCTATTTGCAAAGATTATTCTGTATACATTAATTTCACTTGTAAAAATCTCTTTTAATATTAATAATTTTATTTATACAGCTGAGAGACATTTTAATATTTTAAAATTGACCTAGTAAAATCTGTTCCTGAATACTCAATTAAAATTCAAATGAAATGCATAATATACCATATAATTAAATAATACGTTACAAAAATACAAACGATGGATAAGCAAATTAAATTAAAATAAATTAAATAAATTTAATTACAGAAAACGACTTAATTTATTTGAAGTTTCGCATAATTGTTAGATGAATATCGTGCAATTCTGTCGAAAAATTTACTTCTATCCTGCAATCGCAATGTACACATACCTGCTACAGCAGCGAGATATACTTTCTTCATGTTTTCATTACAATCACGCGCCGCGAGAAAATACTAAATGACTGGGTTTGCAACAATGGTTAGAGTTCTGTGTTCATACATGAAACAATGCAGATGATATCGTATCACTTTTATCTGAAGCATTTCAAGAGTTTGATATAAAATTGTCATTATCAAATAAAACGATGAATGTCTTGAAATATTTGAGATGTCTCACCAAGTTGACAGAAACTGACTTTACGACGTTACTGATATCTTTTTCAAAATTATTTTGAAAAAGGACGTCTCAAAAACATCGTTTAGTTGCACATCTTGGAAGAGAGTCAACAGAAACAACATAATTATCTCATAACATGGTTTAGTAAGAAATTTATTATTAATAAGCTTACATTAATCTTTCAGCAAATTATAGTTTAAACGGTATTAAATATCGCACAATTAATACTAGTTGACATTGACAATAAATGAATCTTTCTTTTCTCTTTCACAAATATAATTTGATTATTCTAGTATTATATAACATTAACTACTTTTGTTAGAGTTTTACAGCCTTAACAGAAGCTGTACAATAATATATGTATATAATTTTAACTACAGATAAAACTAAACAGTCCGCGTATTACAACGAGTTGAAAAAATTAATATTGTCAATTCGACAGTAAAAGTTATCACAGATTCACGAAGAGTTTGGAATGTTGCGCGATACCCTCGTAATTAAAACAAATTATAATAACAATATCCTTTCAACTTTTATAATTGTGAAGGAGAGCTTTTGTTTATAAGATGCTATAATTTATAAACAAGCATTAATAGTATATTTAATAGCTAAAACATAGGCTCGTCGTTAATTAGAAAGGAGATTCGCAATTTTGAAAGTAAATACGAAACGATGAATATCGAATTAATAAATAAAGGCTCAATGTGGCACAATTAGACAAACATCGCATATATTATATTGTAAAAAGACGCATACGCTCGTACATATTTATATACATAATATCTATCAACTACTCTAATTTTATTTTATAAATTACGGTATTTTTTTTACGACAAGGTGCGTTCAAAAAGCTTACAAGCAATGCAACAGAACAATTACAACAATGTTAAATCAGGTAATATCTCTTGTACTTGGTAAATACTGTTTTGTAATAACACATGTATGCAATAACGCATGTACAGAGAACCACAGCCGATGATCGTATTTCTCATTTTCTTTCTTAATAGTTTCGTAACAACACTGGTAACTTGACACAAGCACTCCGTAGGTGACACTTTCTTCGATAAGTATGTAAAATTTACGACGTAGTATTATAAAATCTGCGAGTTATCGATTTCCAAGTTAACGATGTCATGATGCTGTATCTATTTATTAACATCAACAACGTATTCTATATAAATAATTAAGTAACTAGCTACATATAGAGAACTAGTTACTTAATTATAAAGAAATTTATTTTTACAATTTACATACAGAAACATATACAGAATTTCACAAAATTCTACCGACGTAAAGCGTCAGGAATACCGTATCTATTGATAAAGTACACACAACTGAAAGATTTTGTCGAGTAGAATTTTGTAATATCTTGTATACGTAGAGTGAGGCACTTGCTATTTGCCCACCCTTGATTTCTGATTCCTAACGAAATAATTCAGACAAAAGTTAGTTTCGAGGAAACGCAAATGTTCCGAGAAATTTTTTCTCTCCAAGGTACTTCACATGCTGGTGGAACAACTTTTGCCAGATGCACTAAATAAATAAAAGTAGCTTCAGCAAAACAAATAAAAATAGACCTAAAATGTAAATTGTTAAATAAAAAAATTAATGCATTTTCTGATTAGATGAAAATTAATATAAATAATAGCACTTTGCATGTAATAAAATTATAGTTGCTTTGAAAATGTTTAATATATTTGCCGAGATAAAATGAGAAGTGTTATATTTAAGGAAACGTAATGTAATATTACACACACGCGCGCACACACACTCGCGCACACAGTTAACGTAAAATTGTATAAAAATAATGATGATAAAAATAAAACTTGAGATGCTCCAGTTTATAATTTTTCTCAGTAAATACATGAATTTAAAAACAACCGAGAGACACCGGTTTGAAAACACGCCGAACACATTATAATACAATTATTAGCGACTAATATAAATAAAAACATTAATTTGTTTTATAGTCTTAATACATATTTTATCTTGCGTACATGCATGAACGTATTTGTTCATTCGTGTAATTATCACTCGTATATATATTCGTTTATATTTTATGTATGTACATATCTGTTTCGCACAGATTCCAGTTCTGGTTATCATCGCACTTTGCACTATTTTGCAGAGCTGCCGTAACTAATTTGCGGACAACGTAACTATCGTCGAGTTATAGTAGTGTGACGTATATATTCCACTTGGTAAACGTAAGATGTAAAATGTAATCCACAGCAATAGGATATGGTACAGAACCATAAAACGTGTCTTTCTGCAATTATATATACTGATTGCGATTTCTTTATCTATGTATATGTATATGTATAAAATACTTAGAACAGATACAGAGTTATTTGAAATTGGCAAGATGTGTGTCGCCGTGTAACGAGTTCCTTCGTTCAATAAAGAAACCGATTCGTCGGGACCGATTCGATTGGACCGCGACAGCTACTGGGTGGCGGATTATCATCGTCAGAATTGTTATGCTGTCTCAAAGGCTTGGTGGGAAGTTGGCTACGTTGCGACGCTATCGCTTGACGTCGCAGCTCCTCTATATAATCCGTAGTGTCATTCGCTATCAGTTCCTGTATACGTTTACTTAGAGTCGACAATTCGGGCTTGTCGTCTTCGTAGATCCCGTCGTGAGCTCCGGACTTTTCGTAGAACAATATGTAGGGCGTGTCGGGAGGCTTCAAGTTCTTGAAGTCCTCGAACGTGGTTTGCGTTACGAAGCTGTCGTTAAATTTGTACCAATTCTGCTTGGAATCGCAAGCGTACGTGAAATAGTGCCCGTAATCCATGCTGTATCCGGAATGCACGACGGCGGCGTACAAGTGATACGTTTCCGCTACGGTGTACGGTATTGCCGACACCGGCAGCTGTATGGTATCGTTATATACCACTTTGTGCCGAAGCTTCGTCCTCAATCGTGTATCGAAGTCGTATCGGAAGTGCTTAAGCGTTAGGATCAAGTGCGCGGGCGCTTGTAAAATCGTTATGATCCTCTGCGCGTCGCATAATTTCGTGCACTTGTCGCACCGATACTTGTTCTCCCCCGTGAGCTTCTCCGGCGTAAGATAATAGTTGATGAGGTCCTGGACGGAAACCTCTTGGTTCTCCTGTATCTCCTCGGGAAAGCACAACTGCAGGTCGCGAAATTTGTCCGTGTTGCGAGAACTGGTGTCGCATTGTGCGCATTGGTAAGTGATCTGGCATTCCCCGCCCAATACCCTGTGTACGAGAGACGTATACGTGCCAGTTTCCTCGCCACCTACCGACTGTATGCCGCTGTCGGTCGAGTCCGAATGAGAATCGCTCAGCCGTTGTCCTAGCTCCTCGCCTGTTACAAGAAGGAAAACATTGGAAAATGTTCAAATCAAATACAGAATGTATCGCGCAACTCAAATATAAATACAAACAATAAGCTCAGGGGAGCTTTCGGAACTGTGCTTTATCATCTATTTAGCCACATCCAATATGTACAGACAAGAATCACCTCGTGTAAAATCCGCCAACGACTGCGTTTTCCGTTGTAAGGCCAAGCCTTCCGTTAGATCTTCCTCAGTCGTCCAACGTTTAATACCTTTCGCTGACTCCATCGACAACATCACGTCGTCCTCCTGCTTCTCGATTTTGCATTTAAGAGTCGCCGCGTTGTCGCTTCCTCCGCAGGCTGAACTGGCAGATTTCTCTTGCTCGTGCAGAACATCCAAGAGATGACTGCGAAAAGGATTTCCATTAATACTCCGCTGTACATCAGCGCGGAATAGAAAATAAATCTCGACTACGGTGAGAGTAACTTAATTACAATTTGGAGCGGGAGAAGCGGTGGGACAAAAACAGCGTACTAACCAGAGAAACTCGGAGCTGTCCTGTTGCTGCCCGGGTAAGAAATACGTGGGCCGCGACGCTCGTAATATCTCGGTCGGCGCCAAGCATACTCTCCTGGAATACAGCAGCAGTGCGAACAAATTTTGAAGCTTCTCCAGCAGGGGCTTCTTGCCCGATTCGTTCAACGGACGATAATTGAGCACGTCTTGGCAGAATTGTCTAGTCATTAGTAAGGCTTGCAGGACACTGTTCATATAGCAAGTGTTTCCCAGATTGGACAGACCGACTTTGCCGGACAGCGGCCTCTCCGGCTCGACGATCGGCTCGAACTCCTTGGTCTCGTCGAGCCACACCTGCTCCCTGCACAGCTCTCGGACGACGTGCATGCGCGGCAGCACGGGGAAGGGATAGTTTTCCGTGTTGCCGCAGGGTATGCAGGTGGAGAATCTCTTGCTGTACACCTTCATGATGTCGACCAAGTTCTGTATGCATTCCTTGCTGGAGTCCGAGTCCTCCTTCATGAGATCCTTGATCAGCGCCGGTATCCTCTTGGATACATTCTGAACAAACGACATGGAGCTCTGCCTCTTGAGGATGTAAAAGATGATGTTGGAAGCGTTTTGGCGGACGACAGGTACCAGCAGCACCCGGCACATCAACACCAATATGTCTACCGAGGACTCGGTGAGCTCGAGGAGGGTGGAATACTTGTGCTGCTTCTCCAAGCCACGGATAAACTCCATGATCCAAACGCTGAGCCGGTCCTCGCACCACTTGGGCAGCCAGTTGCAGAGAACCTTGAGGGCCTGTATGAGCTGGCGGTCGGTGTGCGACTGGGAGAGAATCCAGTCGACCGCCTGCGGAATAACGGACGCTTCCACCAGCTGCAATATGGCAGCGAGGCCCGGGCCGGGCTCCTGCTTTCTGTTTGTGTCGGATATGATGTTGTAGAGGGTTTGGAGGCAGGTAAACATTAAAATGTCGCGCTCGCCGTTCTTTGTATTGGAGCAGAACGCCTTGAGAAAGTGCTGGATCTTTGTGGTGTTGTCGTAGAACTCGGAAATTTTTTTCGGCTCCAAGGGCATCTGAAAGGAAGACAGGCTCATGACTATCGCCTCGCAGAGTCTCGAGTGGTTCGCCGACCTGGGCAGGTACACCCTGTGCTCCGCGAGCGTGCCGAGGAGCTCGGTGAGGTGCGACATGTCGTCGATGTCCGTGTTCTGCAGCAGCAGGGCGACGTCGTTCGAGATGGGGTTGACGTTGAAGCGCTTCTCCGAGATGCGGCCCGACATCCAGGCCATAATCTTGGGCACCTCCGAGACGTTGGCGATCTCGCTGTGGAGAAGGTCCCTCAGGGTGTCCTCGCAGTCGGCCGGCTGCCCGAGCTCCCGTTCCTGCAGATTCTGCAGCATCAGCCAGCCGTCGTTAACGGCCGCGTCGTCCCCCGACACTATCAGCTTGAGGCATTGCCCGATGTCGCTCTTGAGTACGTGCTCGGTGTCCATCTCGTCGGTCGGTATCCCTCGCCGTTCCCGTTCAGCTCGGCTTATCCTAGCTTGCAATTAAAGGCGGGACAATTAACCTGAGCGCGACGATGAGTCTCGGGAAAATCAAAATTATCCCATGGTGGTGAAAAAGCGTAAAGAAGGAAAAAAAAGGAGCGAGTGCCACGGCACGGATCATGCGCTACTTGAGACAGCGGGCCCGATGCCCGAGGATGCGTCGTCATTTACGTCACGACTAGGGAATAATTAAGGGCGATTTGCACGCCGATCGCTCTCCAAACGATCCGAGTTTTAACTTCTTTTTTTTCTACCTCGCACTTCATTTCGTCAAAATTTACGTAAACGTCGTCGCGTTTATAATCGCAACCACGTCTTCTCTAGGAAACTTTTGAAACCATAGACTTGGATATACACAGAGAGAAGCCTGAGAGCTGCCACGTGGTGCAGCACCACTTTGAAACATCCAATGAGAGAAGGCGCTCGGGCAAAGTTCCCTAGCCGCCGGGGCGCATAGGGACGCGACGGGCGGGCGCGTTGGCGACGACACGCGGCCGCCGCGCGCGAGAGCTTCGCGTCCTCGCTCGTCCGCGGCAGGCGGAGCGCGAGGGTGCGCGACGGCCAAGAATAGCGTGGAGCACGCGGGTCTTAGGCGTTCCGCAAACGAGTGTGCCTGGGCAGAGGAGGTGTTCGACTGAAGGCGACCCGACACCCGACGACCCCGTGCGCGCGACACACGACCGCTCCCTCCGGGTAACCCCGTCAAAGGCGCGAGACTCCGGCGCGATCGACAATAACGCTCGGATGGGAGCACTGCTCCGGGCGCGATCCGCTCTCTCATATATGGAGCAGAATCGCGGGAAACGCCTGTTTCACGTGCCGTGTCGCGCGCAGTGAGTGCGTGTGCGTGTTCACGTAGCGCAGCCGCCGCCGCCGCCGTCGTAATCACCGACGAAGCGAGGTGGAGGACACGAAGGGCGCCACGCACAAGGGCACGGAAGAGAGCGAGCGGAGGAGCCAAGACCGCGAGGGAACGGGAGCGGCGAGGGCCGAGAGCGAGTGGCTGTGCGCGCGTGTGCGTGTGCGTGTCGCGGCTTGCATGTGTGGCGCGCGCGGCCGCGCGCGTGTGCCAAGAACCGAGAAGGAGGAGAGAAGCCCGTGCGCGCGACAGGAGGAGCGATTATAGGAGCAGCCTGCCGCTTCTCTGCCTTGCCCCCTTGAGGAGAGGAGCGCGCGAGAGCGCGCCGCGCTTTTTTCCTCTTCGCCGCCCGCCGTCGCCGCCGCCGCCGCCGCCGCCGGGGCAATGTCTCTCGAGACACGTTCGAGCTCGGCCCTGTTCAAGCGAGCCGAACAGCTCAAGCGCTGGGAGCAGTCCGAGACGAATCGCGAGCCCACGCAGCCGCGCCAAGTCGCGCGCAAGATCAAGTTCTCCGCCGACATCGTGTTCCTGGCGGCGTGCGCGGCCAGCGACAAGGAGGAGGTCGTGCGTCTGCTGCAGAAGGGGGCGGACATCAACACCGGGAACGTCGACGGCCTCACCGCGCTGCACCAGGTAGGACTCGGGGCCGCCCGTGTTGACTGTGTGTGTGTGTGTGTGTGGCATCCCGCTGATTTTGACAGCTTTCGAGCTGCCCCCTCTGCCTCCCGCCTCGCCCCCACGACTCTCCCCCTCTCGTTCCCCGCGTCTTCTTCCTTCTCTTTTTCCCTCCCTCTCTCTCTCGGAAAAACTCGTAATTCCGCAAGATGGCTACTATTACGGGCTCCAGCTGTCCGATTCGAGGGTTATTCGCGGCGGGTGGTGGGGGGGAGGAGGGAGGAGGAGGGAGGGTGTGTGACTACTCGTGTACCGAGGGATTGTTAACGAGGGGAGGTCGGAGTCGCGCCCCGCGACTCTCGATTCATCATGTCGGCGCCGGTGTTGGACAACGAACGGCGCGGGAATTCCGTGACTTGCTGTCGAGGCTTTCCCGAGGTGTCGTTAACCAGCGGCGATCCCGCGAGGAGCTGCGTCTTTTTCGGAAGATCGTCTGTCGCTGGTTAACGATACCGAAGAGCATAGACACTCTCTCTCTCTTTCTCGGAGCAACCAGCCACGCTGATCGCAAACGCGGCGTCTGCTGCCTACCGTTAATTACTACGTTACGTTTGCATCGTCGGCCGCTTCGCGCGGTAATACCTCGCTTGTGTAACCGAAATGCTAATTCTATTGCGAGACGTTTCGACGTGTCGCGCTAGCGCGAAGCTCGCGAACGCATCATCGCCACGCGATCGGAGCGGACGGTCACGATTCCCCTCTCATCGGCTCCTTCCCTCGACAGTTGACGGCGCGATTAACATTTCGCTAATTGAGCCCGCGTCCCGTACCCGAGGAGCGCAATATTGTTGCACGCCACGTGACTCGCCAGTCATTTTCTTCGGGATTTGATTGACACTCGGTTCCCTCAAAGGTCGAAAGAATTCTCGCTCTATCGAGTTTTGTGACGCTGGCGAAAACGTTGAGTAGAATCGACGATGGAATCTCGTGCGTCAAACGTATATCCCGAGAAACGTTAATCCGCCCTCGGAAATGCCTTCTTATTTTCTAGAAACTCGTTCAATCGAGTTAAAGGCGGTATGTCGTTCGAGTCCTCAGAAGACATTTCACCAAACGTCGTTTAACTTTAATCTTAGTTTAATTCACGTTTGTCTCTTTCTAAAGTAACAGCTGGAAAGAGACAAAGAACGAATTAAGCCAAGTTTGAACGTTAACCAACGTTGGTGAAACCGGATCTTGAACGTGGTTTCACCAAACATTGCTTAACTTTAATCTTAGTTTAATTCACGTTTGTCTCTTTCTAAAGTAACAGCTGGAAAGAGACAAAGAACGAATTAAGCCAAGCTTGAAGTTAACCAACGTTGATGAAACCGGATCTTGAACGTAGTTTCATCAAACATCGCTTAACTTTAATCTTAGTTTAATTCACGTTTGTCTCTTACTAAAGTAACAGCTGGAAAGAGACAAAGAACGAATTAAGCCAAGCTTGAACGTTAACCAACATTGGTGAAACCAGACCTTAAGCCCGGCTTAAGGTCCGGTTTCACCAAACGTCGCTTAACTTTAATCTTACCATTAGTTTAATTCACGTTTGTTTGTTTCTAGAGTAACAGTTGGAAAGAGACAAAGAACGAATTAAGCCAAGATTACAGTTAAGCGACGTTGGGAAAACTAGGCCTTACTCTTCTGCAAGCTTCACGTTGTCCGTAACAAGACAGTCCTCGAATAAACCTTTTCAGATTTCAACAGCTTCTTGCTATTATTAGCGAACAATGCTTTATTATTCATCTTATCTCGTTCTTCTCTCAAAATATTATTCACTCTTGTTAAAATACTTGGTTTTTTTTCCACAAGATACGATTTGTATTCTCCTTTATGAAGCATGCTGAAAATTTGTATACTTCTATTATGTATTGTGCGACACGTCTTCGGTTTATGTCTGAGTTGTTGGAATACAAAATAATTACCGAGTCCAACAGACAGTATTGCTCTTAAAATCGGATGTGTATAATTGTGTGTGCACGAACAGAATTTTCTCTTACAATTTATCCCGAAAGTCATGCGATCGTGGGACAATGTGCTTTCTTTTTTGGAGAACTTTATGAGAGTTCTTGAAATTTTACCATACACATTTTACTAGTAAAGTACATGGTAAAACTTGAAAACAACTTACAAAATTCTTCAAAGTGCCCCACGATTACATGATTTTCTGGATAAATTTCAAAAGAAAATCCGCGTGTAACAGTAGATTCGATTTATCTCGAATGATTGGCTGCACGGTTGTTCTTGTAGCTTAATTACTTAAGCTCGCTTTGTCATCTCGATGTTTCTCTCATTTTGCAACGGCTCCTCGAATGGGCCGACTGCCGTATATTATTTTCCAGCTGCGGCAAATTAGGAGAGCAAAACTTGAAACTTTCGCGGGGAAGAGAATTAATTTCACACGTATCGACGCTGAAAGAATCTGCAACGTCTCGTTCCGAGACGAGCTCGGGGATCATCGGGCAACTTCCTTGTTACACCGGCGCCTTTTTTTCGCGAGTGGCAAGCTTTTACGCGCAATCTATTTCTGGCCGTTTCCGAAAGCGGACGCAACTGGGTGATCCGGGACACCTTGTACACACACGTATACCATAACGGTTATTACAGTACCAAGTAATTAATGAGGATAAATTAACGAGAGGCAGGCCGGTTGGCGTGTAAGAATTTTCTGACGCGAGGAGGCAGAGAATAATTACAATATCCCGGCCGAAAAAGGAGAAGTAAGCTATTTAGCTAAGCGAATCTCGCGGACCGTGAACAACGCGATGCCCGGGTGAGAAGTTTTCTCGGAATTTTTATACGAAATCGGTACACTTTTCAGAAATACCGAGAGAGTCCACTTCTCCTAGAGTTTTTCCACGCGTGAATATTCCCTTTCTAAGATTCCTCGCTCTATAATTTCCGAAAAACTCGTAAAAATCTTTCTCAAGTCTTGTAGGATTACGTCGGAAATTATGGAATGAGAAATCTCGGGGAATATTTCAGAATTCGTACGTGTGAGAAATTGGAAAAAAGATATAAGCTCTCTCGACATTTTTGAAAAGTGTACCCATCCGTGTAAAAGAACGCCAAGGTTTTCTAAATGATAAAATTACTGAAGAAAATCGGAAAAATTGTGAAATTTGCATAAAAATTATATGAAAAAGTTGCGAGAAAATTTCTCTCACCGGGGTAACGCGCGATATTTCTCAAGACGTGGTCGCGGGATTTCAAGCACGAAAGTTAAATATTTAATACGCGTAGTCGTGATCTCACCTTACGTTTTCCGGTTAACACATCCCCGAGTGCATATTCGCCAATTAAACTAATTAACGACCGTAACCGACTTCGAGGTGGAGCTTGAGAAAACTGGGAAAATGTGGTTCAATATATTCATGTAAACGTAAGGGGATACTGTAACGCGGTGCCACATGCCGCAGGGCCTCATATACGAGTCTTATTAAATGGAATAACATTTTCCACAAAGCGAGCCGATATTTACGGCCGTTATTCAAGTGAGAAGGAAGGAAGTTAAGGCATTTCATGGATTTGCGAAAATAGAATGTGAAAATACATCAGGCATCAAATGCTATTTATAGCTCTCTGTTAGAAGTCACAGGCTGCAGCATCTGTGTCCAGTTTAAATTCTCCGTGTCTAGCAATGTTGTAACACGTACCTGCACTTCTTTTCACCTCGGCAACATCGAAGTCGCGGGAATTCGCACGCGTGAAAAATAATTCGCACCCTTTTTTTTTTACCGCACGCCTAATCCGCACAAACGTTTAAGCGAGGATTGCGACTAAACGACGAGCACGTTTGATCTCTTTTTCTATTATTCGCGATCCCGTTTTTTTTTGGAAATAATATTGAATGAAGCCTTCCAAAAAAAATCTCCGAAACCTCATTAAATTATTATCTGTTCCACATAAAGATATTCCATTGTTGTACAGAGACATCGGCCACCGTAGCGAGATATTCTGAAAAAGTAAATGATGTAATCGAAGATCCAACGGCGCATATATAACATAACGTCGATTTTCGAGCCTTGGATTGCGACCAGACTTGACTAGACCGAGCAAAATCCGGTCTCGATGTCGAGACCTCGAAATACATCTTGCCAATCGCGCACGCTTTTCAACCCTCTACTCACGCGCATCGATGTTAATCAGCGATATGACGTATCCGCGCTACATTTCGCATTATATTATTACGACAGGCCTGCATCGACGATGACCTGGATATGGTGGAGTTTTTGGTGGAGCAAGGAGCGGACATCAATCGCGGGGATAACGAAGGCTGGACGCCCTTACACGCCACAGCGTCTTGTGGATTCATATCTATCGCCAAGTTAGTACAGTTTTTAACAGTCGTGGAAGACGACGGTTTACCGCGTACCTTGTATTCGCGCACGGAGAGAATTTGCCTTAAAAATTTACCTTGAAAGTCGTGCAGTCGTGGGACCGCGTGAGCATTTGGAAGAACTTTGCGAGAGTCTTTTGAAATTGTACTAGTAAAACCGAGGGGGGAAACCGCTGAGGGCATCGTGGTGTACAGATTTGCGACATTACTTGGGCATTACTAGGTATTTTTGGGGCATTGGACCTTGCTGGGACATCATAAAGATAAAATAAGATAAAGTAATGCCCACTGGGCATTAGTGGGCATTGGTGTACAAGACTTTGGCCAGCGGTTTCCCCCTCGAGTAAAACCCAGCGGGAACACTAGGGTCGAATCAACGTCGACTCGACCGCGTTCCAACCGTCAACTTTTCGAAAATAATTCAGTTTCGGAGCTTTATTCTTTTTTGTATTGAATTACTACGTTCAACGTTCTGTCAATTATTGTACGGTAAAGATTGAAAAACCTTCATAAAGCTCTTGAAAATGCTGCCCCACGATTACACGATTTTAAGAGAAAATTCTCTCCATATACGTGCATTTATAAATGACTTGTACTTATAAGCGTGCCAGTCACGCTTGTCGCAACAAGTAGAAAATTGTGTATTTCACAGATACTTGATAGAACAAGGATGTAATCTGGCAGCGGTAAACAATGACGGTGAACTGGCGCTGGATATTGCGGAGAGCGACGAGATGGAAGACATGCTCCAACAGCACATAAATAAAGCAGGTTTGTATTTATATGTGTACCTACAGGACGTCTGAGGCCTCTATTGCGTAAAACTTTTAATTATAGACTTCCGAGGAAATGAGAGCTGGAAATCTTAGTACTGAAATATCTCTCCGCTGCGATAGAGTTTTTATACAAGCAATTTAACTGCGTAAGTGGCAATTTAGCCACCGTTTTTCGTCACTTCTTTGCCCCAAGTTATTTACAAAGCTGTTAGATGTTATGCGCGAAGCTGCATAAAGTATAAACGCTCGAGGTGTAAAACATTGAGCACCTAAAACCCAACATCCGGCTAGAGGTGTGCACGCTCAGACACAGCAAGTCGTACGTTGGCAAAGATATTCTCTTTCATTGACCCCTTTTCGTGATGTTGATATAATTTTACGTACAATGTGCTGAAATACTCTCTTAAGCAACACTATCCATCATTCACACTTTGCACGCGTACAAATACTCGTATAGAAATGTTTTAGGATTATCAAGGGAGTCTTTCTCATAAAGTACAATCGACAACTTGCTGGTAAAATCACAGTTAAACGTATTTGCGGAATTTGCTGAAATAATTAATAAATTGTCGAGCAATTTGCGAAATTAATTTTGGATTGAATTTTTTTTCTAACGATTCTAATTTTAGAAAAGTTGCTAAACGACGCTAACTGGCAGATTCTAATTTTGTGCGCAGGTATCGATTGTGATCAAGCAAGGAGCGAAGAGGAACGATCAATGCTGAATGATGCAAAAGCTTGGCGGTCAGGTGCACCTGGCAAAGATTCTTTGCATCCAAGATCAGGAGCCACTGCACTCCATGTTGCTGCCGCCAAAGGCTACATCAAAGTCATGAAGTAAGATATTACATCTTAAGAAGAAAGTTATCTAACGTTATACATTACCTAGTGAATATCAAAGGAACTTAAATATCTCTTATTGAACACGTACGCGCGTTGCAACAAAACATTGGAGATTATTTTCAAAGTCGAACGGTTTTCCTGGTATATTAAGTGTAGATTTGGAGTTGACTCCTTTCATCGAATCCTTTTAATAAATCCTTTTAATTTATTTTCTGTGCAGCATATTACTACAAGCTCGATGCAATGTTGATGCACAGGACTTTGATGGATGGACGCCTTTGCACGGTGCGGCACATTGGGGTCAACTGGAAGCTTGCAAACTTCTTGTTGAAAATGGCTGTGATATGGATATAAAAAATTACGCCGTAAGAGAATTAATATAATTGTATAATAGGACAGATTGGGGATTGAAATTTTAAGTTAACCACAGGCTGACTTCAGATTAATTTAATTTCGATCCAAGCTGAATTTTTGACTGCATAACTTCTGTCCGACGGACAATTACATATCCTTGCTTCTTTCCTCACCGATATTCTGCTTTTAGGATCAAACTGCTTTCGATGTTGCTGATGCAGACATCCTCCAAGCTCTTGAAAATTTGAGAGAACAACGAGCACTTATCATGAAAGAAACTCCACAAACAAATAATAAGAAGCAATCGTCTATACCAAAGAAACGGTGAGCAGCATAACAATTTTAAATAATAGTTATAAATCGTTAACATTTTTCACTTTAATATATATGTATATATCTCTCTCTCTTTTTAAATGTCTACAGTGTCTCAACGAGTGCTGATAATGCAGTAGCGGCACAAGAATCTACCGAGATCTTTGAAGAAGAAACGCCAAATAAAGTTAAGAAGGTTGAATTAGAGATTCAATCCGATAAAGAAGATTCCAGCACTAGTACAAACAGCGACGTTGGTAAGATTCTTGTTTGTATACCATTCCTTCCAATGTACGATCTCTAATCCGCACGTTTACTTTTTTCTTTTTCTTTTTTTTAAAGAAGTGATTACATTAATACGAAATAACTATCTACTCTGCAACTTCCATGTTTATCTTTTATTATGTCAAGAAAAAGGAAAGAGTAATAATTATGCTGTGCAAATTATTTTCTCACAAAATCTATTGTCCAGTTTTGCAAATCGGATTTATGTACTGTTAACTGTAATCTGTATTTCTTATAACATTGCTGCATGGACAGAAGCAACACGTGAAACACACATGGAAGAGAGTGATGGTGAAGGTGAATCTGAGACTAGCTCAGAATCACACTCTTCCACTTTCTCCAATCAATCTGATAAGTCTAACCACGCGACATGTCTTACAGATGACGGTAAGTTTGATCTGTAAGACTGTTTTTCTCTTTCATTTCTGACGATATGAGTTACTGCTTGCTGTTGCATGTGTTATATTAGAGTTTTACAATAGAGTATTTCGAAACTTGCTGGATTTTAGAGAGTTGAACTTCAGATACTCTTCACTTTGTGAAACACTGACAGCCGTAGTAAAATTTTTGTTCAATTATTTTGCAGAAAAGAAAAATAGAGTAAACAAAGATGAAAGTGCACCCCATAGTCCAATATCTCCGGTCGAAACTAATAAAGTTCCTAATCAGGTGAAACATGTGTTTTAATGCGTATTATGTACTTTCGAATAATTTTATATTTATTCGCATTTCTACTTTTTTAAGGCTCCAATATTGCCTCCAAAACAACAGACTGATAATAATGAGGACGGTGTTGTACCATCTTGGAGACGTTCAGGTTCCTTTCGAAATAGAATGCAAAGTACTGAAACTACTAATTCTACATCTACAAGTATGCTCATCAAATGTTGCATATGTGTAATAGTAGTAGTAGTAGTCCTCCTTCCCTATAACTTTTCTGTATCTTATGCCTCCTCTCTAACTAACTCTCTTAACTATCCTTTCCTCTCCTCTTGCACTATCCTCTTCTCCTGTCTCTCAACCTCTTCTTTTCTCCACTAATTCTCCTCATTTCTCTTACTCCTTTCCCCTCATCGTTGAAGATTGTCTGTTAGCCTCAATTTAGAGCTCTAACTCTATTCTCTCTTTTCCTATAACTCGACAACACTTCCCACCATGTGGGAATGTGCGATCCAGTAGTATAAGGTTGCATATGTGCTTTACGAACTTTTAAGCTAAACTGTTAATGAATTTGTATCATTATTTCACAGAACTCGAAGATAAGGATAACAATATTAAGATACCAACATCACCAAACAAAGTTAGTGGAGAATCCGATGTGGTGTTAAGAAGGACGCACAGTTTCGAGACAGATGAAAAGTGAGTCTTGTTAAGTCCTTGCTTCGTGCGTTATATCGTTCTTCTTTTTATATAAGTTCGCAGCTTTATATTTGTAGCAATATTATGTTTTTTTTTTATTTGCTAGTGATATTTAATGCTATTAACAGCGGTGCTACGTTCGCAATGGCGGCGCGACTAAGATTGTATAATACGCATTCCATGTGTCCGCATTAATTATGAGTCTTAGCATTATCTATAACGTATGTCCCTATACTATTATGACAAGTAGTGTAGAGATATGCATGGCACGGTGATGCATGTGATGCAGGTTTTATAAGCAGTATTTGGCATTACGTGCCCGCATCAAGGCGTTCTCGTGCCCTACCCTCCATCGCTGCAATGCAGCTACTCCTACTCACACCAATGCTACGATTCGCTCTGCATCTCTACGCGAAACACACAGGTACATGCCGCATGCCTCTAATCAGTGTTACAATGTTACCATGCTTTTATTTGTTGCAATACGAAACTGCAATCATGTTAATATTAATTCGGTAATTTTGCCTAACTTGTTCAACCTGTGATGGTATTGTATAATGTGTAGATTGCTGTGATAACATTGTACTATTTGTATTATTTGAAAGTACATAAGAATGTAACAGTGGATGTGATTTTAATGTTTTTTTTTGTACATTCTGTATTAATGAGCTTTCAAGGACGCTTGCTATATATTATCCTAGCTTAAAATCTTAAAAAGTTTTGGATTAAATCAATAATAGTACTAATCAGATTAACTTTTAATCAGTTCTAAATTAATTACTTATGAAAATTTACATGTGTGTATTTAAAGTAATTCTTTCCTTTAATATCAATTCTCTCTCTTAATCCCTTCATATGACTGAGGTAACAAATAAACAGAAAACAAAGAATATAGAAATTTATAATTGTATGAATTACTTCATTTTATTCGTCGAAATTTTAATAATTACAAAGATGTTTTTATCTGTAATGTTTCTAAATTATTGAAGTACGTGCCTCTGATAATTTATCATGTTGCGCATAATTCCTTTTTTTTAATTATTTACTTTATTTTTACTCTAGAAAAAAAGATGTGAAATTAAATTTGGAATTGTCAAGACTGCCACAAGGAAGCAATACACTTTCACCAACATCCGCATCTAAAACATTGGCATCGAGTCTATTGTCATCCATTACAACAACTACCACTGCCACCACAACAACAAGTCCTATTCCAGTCAATCAAATTCGCAGGTAAATAAATCTTTATACTAAGAATCCTACACTTAATGAATATCATCTAAATGTTATGAAACTATCTCTCTTAATCTCTTTTACACAAGATTATAAGTGGATTGCGGTGTTTCACTGTCTTACAAAATATAAAAAGTACTGGCCGTAACATTTTTAATCTTTCTACAAGTTTAACTCATATATATTTTTATTTGCCACATAATTAATACTACATAAATATTGAGGCTTTTCCAAGACAAGTTCTCCCAATAGGGACCTTAAACACTTATTTAAGACATTAAAATACACTATTACATATGCACACAATTGACATCTGTGTATTTACATTCTGTATTGTGCATTATAATATTAATGTGGCTGGGTAGCGTTCAACCAGTGGAAGCTGCATCTACAGTTGTATCGAATACAAATAATGCAGTAACAACTGCTCCTGGAACTCCCACTACACCAGGAGGGAGCAAGCTAAGTCCAGGAAATATCTTCAAGAATTTCTTCAAGTGGGTACTCACTGCTCGGAAGATCCTCCTGAAATATTATGACCTTTGCATATTGTCAAACATTTACGTACTGATTACGTTAATTTGCTGGCAATAGCATGGAAGTTTGCTTTTTGCAGTGTGATTATTCTTTTTATTTGCTCATTAATCGTCCTATACATACATATATGGATATCTTTGTACATATGGATAGTCACCTTATCCACTACACATCTGTGAATTCATCAAATTTGCCCAAATACTATTTGATTGTGGTTGGCAAATGAACACATTGCTACACACAAATGCACCTTATTCGATTTGTACTGTTGAATGTGTAACTTTATAATACTTTCAACACGTTCGATTCATTGCGACAAAGGTTGCTATTCTGTGAAAATTCTCGAACAGAATAATTCTTTATCAGTGATATTGAGTATTACGAGTCTATTCTCTTTTTAAACTTTGCAATCAATTCCAAAATTGATACACTACTACAAGGAAGAAATCGAAATTATGTAATATATAACACCAAATGTGTACCTGAAACGGAAGAGATACCTTTTATTCTTTTACAGGGATACGTATACTATTTGTTTTATGTGAAATTTTGTTATATTGCTTACAAATTGTGTTGAACAGTGCTTACTAAAAATTTGTTTTTATTGCACAGATGAAACAATCTGACAATATTACGTATCGTTGGTTGCAACTTGTAAGCTGATATCTCATGCGTTACTGTATGTATATGTACAGATCCTTCGTCCCGCCGGTACGCGATGAAGAAAGTGAAACCCAAAGGAAAGCCCACGCAAAGAGAGTAAGAGAAACCAGAAGGTCTACTCAAGGTGTGACGTTGGACGAGATCAAGAGCGCGGAACAATTAGTGAAGAAAAAGCAACAGAACAACGAAACGCCGGCAACAACACCGTCCACGCAGGTAAAGGCTCATATCAGTGATATTATCGCTGCCTTATCGTGTGATTAAGAAGTGACTAACGACTTATCTCAGCCGATATGTGCAAAAAGAATTACTTCTAAGTGGCGTACAATAATATGAAGGAAGGCGCGTCCAGTGTGAGAATATTGGTAGTGAATATTAAACCGTGTAGTGCGGCATTAACGATTGGACTTAATAAATTTCGTGAAGATCTAATCAAATATTGCTGATTTCAATGAAGTACCTGTGTTGCTTACCGAGAGTATACAATATTTTATTTTTTATTATATTCTTTACGCAAAATAGCACGATAAATTAAATGATTTATTCATGTTTTTTTTTAAATAATCCAGCCTACTACTACCGTCAGCAATACAGCTTCGATCACAGCTACGATAACAACCGCAACCTCCACTACCGTGACTACCGCAAGTAAAGTTTCGGAAGAATCTAATTTACCTGAGAGACGACCGTCTTGGAGATTAAGGGTAGACAATGGAAGCAAGGTGTGTGCGCTTACAAAATCCTTATTTATTTTTAATTAATCCGCAAATGTTCACGAGTGTCCGTATGGTCGGTGCTACGCCGCAATGCGTTTGAAAATGTAGCATGGAGGGAAAATGTGATTCGACAATGGAAAGTGCATCACGAATGTGTTGGTGTAGAAATCAAGATTCATACTAATATATCCCGTTTTATTTAGTTTCAGTTGGAAGATGCTAATAACAAGCCTACACTTACTGATAACACAACGGCCTATATGAGAAGACCGTCTGGTGGGACTGGTGTACCCAGACCATCGTCAGCCCCAGTGGAAACTACTGCCACCAGTAGTACAGAAACCACAGTCACTTTACCCCTTAGAAGATCGCTAAAGCAACCTGATGACAAAGGTAATAACTTACAGAATAGTTGACGACATAAAGAATGTAATCCGTTATGTTTCAATAGGAATTGTACATTACATATATATTAATATAAATACGATATTAATTCGTGTATGGATTATTATTTTAGCAAAAAGACGAAATTTTGTTGTTTGTTACAGAACAAGATAAGGAAAATGACAGTAGAAACGCACAAGCTACACAAGCAGTTATTCAAAGGAGACGTCGGCCTAAGAGAAGATCGACAGGCGTAGTCCATGTGGATATGGATGTTAGTAATAATTTTATAAAAGAATTGTCTTCAAAGATATTCAGTTTATATTATTAAAAAGAAATGGGAAAAACCTAGGTTTCCATAATTTTTATCAGAAGAAAATTAAAACTAATCATAATGAAAATTATCTGATAAAAAATATGTGCTTAAAAACTCCTAAAAGATTACTTTCACTTTTTACAGGAAATTGACCCAGAAAAGCAAGACCTTACAGCTGGCGGCGATTGTGATGATGCTAAGGTCAATCACAATGAAGTAAGTAATCTACTTTCTTTCAATATAAATAATTGTTACACAGTGCTGCATAAAGTTAAAGCATTAACTCATTGCTTCGTCATCGTTAAAAATATAAAACGGCGCTTCAAATTCAAGTCACCCGATTTAAAGTAATACGAAAATTAAATTACAGATGCATGAATGATAAACTAATTTCTACGATAAACACCAGATTGGTACGCGATATAATCCGCTGATTTAAAATATATTATTCTTTCGTTTTACCGGCCTTCGACTTACAAACTCCTTCTGACAGACGGACGCCAAAGCGTCTGTCTGAATTTCGACTTACGAGTCTCTTGCCACGGATTTACCAGACACTTGCCAAAAATCCAAAATTGGATAACGCGCAGTTGAGTGACGCAGAGGGAAACACAACACTCGTAAATCCGGGAAAGCATATAGGATATAAGACATTACCTCATTTCGACTTCGACACCGAGAGCTTTAATCTTTGTGTAGTTCCCATTGTTAAGTGATTACTTTATGCGTAAAGGGAGATGCAAAGAAAGTACTTTTTTTAATATCCACGTAATTATTTTTGCTTCATCCTGGAAGCTCGTTCATAACGTTCCAGCCGACCTTTTTCATTCGCTGGGTGTAAACGGTTGCTAAACCATGTGGAATCGTATATGTACTGCAAAGTACATGCTTAGATGGGAGAGGACAGATATAAGATTTAGAGTACATCATTGTTACAGTAGAAATGAATAGGACATAAAGTGCATATTTCGAAGAGATCTACAACTTTGGTTTAAAACAAATTTTGAATTTTTCAGTATTTGATCAAATAAATCTAAAAAAACATCAATTTTTAACGATTTTGTATGGTTTTCACCATGAAAGTAAAAGTTGCGCCAATTTTCACTGTCATATTTGCAATCAGCACGTCAAAATACGTAAGTACACGTAGTTTCAAAAAATCGGAAGTATGGGCTTTTCGGAAGTTTATCCACGGTTTTCATAAGCTCTACCGCAGCTTGATGTTATTTTTAGCGTCTTGAAAGAATAGCCTCTATTCTCGATAAAAATAGCCCAGCATTCGTTATTCTGTCACGTTCGGGAAACGCGATATTTGATATGAAAATATACAGAAGAGCAAATCATGATTGACGTGAATGTAATTTTGCTTAATCTCGATATAAATATTTCTGCTGTTTTAAATATGACGCCACCGACGTGGGCTTGTCGAGGAGTTAAAATTACATATGGGAACTTAATCGGTAATTGAAGCGAAAGGAGATGATCGTGGCCTGACCGTGGTCTAAAAGCATTCTATCCAACGCGCTTGGAATACAATCGAACACTTTGACATTTAGAATCGTATTTACATACCGCTTGTTTAGCGCCCATGAACGTCGCTGAAACGTTTCAGTCTTTTATATATCGATGACCGACAGGTCGTTAACGCGTTCTATATAAATCTTGTATATGCAACAGCTATTATCTAATGTCACGAGATTCGTACTCTCGTTCCCTTTTTTTACTCCCAAATTAAATTACTCCCGCCGTAAAATTGGATATGTCGCGGTGTGCAAATGTCTATATTTAAATTGCTGTGTGTTTGAAAAAAAAGAAGTATTTTAACTACGGTGCAAGGTGCACTTATTCTCCGAAACATACAACCTTGATACTTGTGTGCGTCTCCGCGTGCATTCCAAAAATAGCGCATAGTAGTAATGCTTTAAAGCGAACTGCCCGATGTCTTGGGTTCCCCTGCTCAACCTCCGTCAGTCTATCATTCGCTATCCGCGGCACAGCGTACCGCGCTCGGCTCTAAAAATCGAGAGAGAGAGAGACAGAGACGTTTGCGTTTAAAATATCCGCAGGCTGTAATAAAGCTCGTCGCAGACCATTTATGAGTAACGTGAGTGACGGATCTCGCGGAAGAAGCCGCCGAATGCTGTAGCGTCTCGTAATAACTTCGCACGTGACGCAAACCATGTCTTCGTACAGAAAGGGAGTACAGACTAAGCCAACAACAGCTGCGGGCTTACGAGCCCAAGCGTCAACAAATGGGCAATCAATTTTTGGAAACAGGTCACGGATCGGCGGTCTGCTCTCGTTAAATCAGAATAATTTAACGCTTAACGCGGGATTACGGGGCGTAAAAGCTCCGAATCTGTACTCCGGATCTAGCTTTCTGAACAAGGGTACGAAGAGCAGCGACCTGTTCCGTACAACTCCGTACGCGAAGTCTGCGAACAGTTCCTCCAATTATCAGAATCTCTACACGACGTACGGTGGAACGTCAACGGGATACGGTGGCGTGACTTTGCCTTCTCACACGGCTCACAACTTACCTCCTCACACAACTCACAGCCTACCCTCTCACACAGCTCACAGCTTACCCTCTCACACAGCTCACAGCTTACCCTCTCACACAGCCCACAGTTTATCCTCTCACACAACTCACAGCTTACCCTCTCACAGCCCCCTGAATCTGAGTCCGTCTCCCAGTTACAATTATCTGAACTTGAACGCAAGCACTCGACCGCATATGCAAAAAACCGAGAGTTTCAGCAGATCCAAACTAAAACCGAGTGTCGGATCAAGGAGTTCCAGTCTGCAAAGTTTAACTAGCTCTGAGGGATACGCTGTAAGCAACTTCCTTGACTCTCGTATCCTAAATTTGTATTGCAGTTATAAAGCATCCAGAATGTTGGAATATTTTCAAATGACGTTTTATTAAACGTTATTTTTCTCAACACTTAAACATATTCTGTATACAAAGATAAATTGTATGGGAATATGGATCTGTGGTAATATTCGTTAATGTTACAGAGCGTAGAATCTTCCCTTAAAGATCGGCGAGAACTTACGGCGACTCGTCTTAAAAAATGTTACTAATGTCTAATATTGTATCTGTTTTTAGAGCGGAAACGATCGTTCTGGGAGAGCCACTAGATTAGGTTCGATATCTTCGCTATCATCGGAGGCCTCGTCAACGCCGAGCCGATTGAAATCCAATAGTTCCGAAAACGGCGAATTAGACTATAAGAAATTGTACGAGGAATCTCAGGTCGAGAACGAAAGGCTAAAGGAGAAGCTGAAGCGCTCCGACGAGCAATTGAAGGAAGTCAGGCATTTACTGGAAAAAACGCAAATCAACCAAAACAAAGTAATTCTCTCTGAGGCAGAGAAAAGGGAGAGGCGAGCTATGGAAAGGAAACTTTCGGAGATGGAAGAAGAATTGAAGGTAAGCAGACTTGATGAGCTCTCTTCGTTATGAATCTGTTATGTATGCGAAAGCGAATGGAAGAGACGCCTTCATACATTGGGCTTGAACAATGAGGAGACTGGACACGATCGTCTGTGATTTTATATGTACGAATATCCGTATTTACATTTTTAGATTTTTTTAGTTAGTTACACACCGTCATCTCTCTTTTTTCTTGTGTTGCTGTGACTGCTAGCGGCAAGCAAAAACAGCAATGATTATTTTTGGTACGAGGACCCGATCGCTTCGGTTATACGCTTTTCCTTACCTGGCAATTTTACGCAAATTGACGCTTTACTCTCTTTCTTATTCTCTATTTTCGATTGGTACTCGTTTTCCCTTTTTTTCATTTTATTTATTTATTTATTTATTTATTATTACGGGAGACAGTAATTTTCAGTAGCCCGTTTTTGTATTTTCCCTGAGTTCCGCTTCTCTGAGAACTTGTAGCGTAGTTTAGCGGGGAATTGCACGCGGTTTTACTCGTCTGCTAATGGAGCGCGAATTAGTTATTTGTTTTTGGCTATTTTTGGGACTAGCAAAAACAGTGGCGGGGTTTTAGGCTAATCGTTTAACTGTTTACAGCAATTGCAAAAGCTCAAAGCTGAAAATGAGAGATTGAAAGCCGAAAATCGGGCACTTACCCGCGTCGTATCCAAACTCACCAATACTAAATAGGTAAAGGACACAATGACAGCATCTGCGTTAACGATAGACATCGTATCTCACGTACAGCATTAATTAATTAATTACTCTCTTAATCGAATGATTAATTATAATTTTGTGTTCTGATCGCCAGTATTAAAACAGAAACGATACTCATCCATACTTATCGTACAATTCAGCTTTGCAAAGTGCATTCCAACATACAACGCGATCGTTAATCAGTTTTTTTTTAAATCAAAGGTACCAATTTACTTTTACAAAGGAGATCACTTCTCGCAGAATTGTTATACATACGTCTCATTCCGAATATCTGCCGTCAATATTTACCTATACATTCGTGTATTTTATTACTCTTGTATGATACTAATAGCACTCTTATTTCTGCAATGTGTATCAGGGAAATTCTCTCACGTATATAATGACGTATACATTTTCTCAACGTTGTTACAAAGAGTTGCAAACCGCGACAATTATAATACATTATCCCGGCTGATTGTGTGATGCATGTTATACAAATGAAGTATGTAATAATACATGTACTAAAAAGAAATCAAACGTTTTAACAAGAGATAAGAAAGAACGCAGTCTGTCATTTATAAGATGCATAGGAATGATAATAGACACCAGCAGTTTTAACTTTAGGAAACTTTCCTCCATCCATGTAAAACCACCATCCAACATGCAGAATAACATCAGTAAACTGAATGCCATCACCAAGCATCGATAATCATTTTTAGCACGTGTTAGCACATGAAAGAGAAAGCCATGACTCTGCAGTTAGTTATTCCTTTTCAGTTTATTCATCTTAATCATAACCGTGTGAAAGTTATACACTTCCCGCAACATGTTCGACTGTTAAAATCAACACATGTTACACTCCATTAACTTAGATTTTCGCCTCTGTCTGTCTCTCTCTCTTTCTCTTTAAGAAAGCATGTTAAATGTTACATTGTTGCACTTTTATTGCACTTTATAGACTTCAAAAGATGACCAATCCACGAAGTTGACATTAATCCCTCTTTAACACTTACGTATAATATTGCATACTTGTCATTATTTCACGGTATGCATTAGAGAGCTTTCGTTTTCAATGATATTATTTTCTGTAGTGTTCTAAAAGTGCTCAACAACAAGGAATGTGACAGATGATTCCAATCTTACAGTTAGTTGCAACTGTAACATGATATTATTTCTTGCATTTATATATGAAATGCCCCCTAAAACTTAAAGTCCAATTGTTGTATTAATTAAGACTACGCCTAAACTATCAACTTAATAATTCGCTAATTGAGTCTCGCTTAGATTGCGTACAAGTACGAGGATAAATTTTCTCCCAAACGACACAAACTTTATAGCAAAATATTTGTATGTGTGAAAATTTTAACTCGAGTGCCGAATTTACGTTTAACTGGTTTGTTCGTTTATTTGGATTAATATCGATTACGTGTAAACGATTGCCACGAAAGAATACTTGTGTACAAATGCAACGATACTTAAAGGAAATAAAGTTTACGATTCTGGTGTTACGTGTAATGCGAAGATCGTAAATTGACGAAACGCTTTTACTACACGCGATCATATCTCTTATCTGTGTCAATATCTGAAGATTTATTAATTTCTGCTAGTATACACTGCCCGAATACTTTAATGACTTTTAGTTGCAGTAATACTTGTGAGTGCCTCTTTCCGTTTATCCTCCTGTTGTTTTGTGAGCACTGAAATTTTATTCCGTCTATAACGGCATTATTACTTTGTACTCTCCTCTATATAACGTTGTTATGCTGTCGATTAGCGCGTAAGAATTAGCATGATATTTTTTCTTCTAGGTGATGGACCAACTAAAATGCGAAAATCAGAGGCTAAAAGATGAAAATGGTGCCTTGATCAGAGTAATCAGCAAATTGTCCAAATAAATCTTGTAGTCTCAACTGCACACATCATAATGAAATTTTAAGTTGTATTACAACTATGTTGAATGAATTTGCTTTAATTATAGCAGCATCATCATTATCGCTAGTATTCTTACAGATGTGCATCATGCTCTATCGATGAATTTATCTTTGTAGTAATTTAACTTATTCCAATGATGAGGTCGATTAATCGCATGGCTGTGCCAAAGGCGAAAAGAAATGTTACTCCTATTCTTAGACTGTGAATACTTGATCGTAAAAGACTTAGAGGAATTTTATGGAATTTTGTGGAATTACTTTTTAATATCGTAGAAAGATGAATTTTATAATCCAATATATAAAAACGATTTAATACTTTATAGTAAAAAGAAAAGGAAAAGTCAGGTTTATTTTATTTGACTATTAGGAAGAGAAAAAGAACTATTAATCTTTACGGACAGTTTCCTTTTTTAACACAAATCACGTTATCGATGTTGATTCTTTATAAGGACATTTTGTAAATACAGACAAATAGACAATGGTGATGTGGCATTTTAGTGATTTGAAAAAAAAGAAGAACTTTTACCCGCGGAGTAAGCTTTGAAACGCTGAGATCGCATACGAGCGAATCCATAATGTTATCGTAAACGAATCTGTTTGCATTACCGAAGCAATAAGCGATATATCTGCTACTCTTGACTAAATTACGAAGATGGTAAAGAAGGAGTCAAAGAACATGACCTTTGCTACTCAAGTGGCCTTTCTCTGAAGACTGCAATTTGTAAATCCTTCCATCATTGCCATTTTTGCAGTATAGGCGGAAATTTGATGCATATACGGGAGTAAATGTTTTTAATTACTCTGTAATATAATACATTTTCTTATATAATATCACAGATATGTAAAATATACTTTAGACACATCGGGATTTTTTAATATCCTTAAAGTGCTAAAATTACTGTATGTTAGAGCTGTGGTAACTTCAGTTCGAACTGTTGATGTAGAATCTGTGTTATTATTTTTAACTACCTGTCATATATAAAATGCTGTTACCTATTATTTTCTTATAGCAACATCAATGATTGTCCAATACGCTCTGGATAAAAACGAATTTATAAATATCGGATAATGAAATGTGTAATTGACAGTTGGCATGTTTTTTAATGATATTATTGTAAACAATTGTAAAAAAAAGGATGACTCAATGTAGTTATTTCGTAATGAAGTTTATTAGAAAATAATATTTGTGTAAATATTTAATACATAGGCTTATATATATATATGGACCTTACTTTTGTTATTTTATAAACTTGTGTCGCATCGATGGTGAAATTTCTTTATATACGTTCATATTGTATCTGTTTTAAATATTTATATTAGTAAAGATCCTTATATAGACAATATAATGTGGTTGATCACAGCAGTAACATATACGATAAAAGGTAAGTAATTAATAACATTGATTTTTCAAATGGTTTGTTGTTTACTCAAATTATTGTTTTATTTACGGTATATCGTACAGTGTCACAATACTAATTCGTTAGTAGGTTTATCGTTTCTGCAATAATCATTTATCACGATTTCAGTAATCGTTCCATAATTTTTGCAACTGCAGCCAAATCTGCGCATTGTTCTGTAACCTTTGCCGCTTTTCCCATTAATGCGTTAAATAATTTTTTCTTGCCACTTTTATATCCTGATACAAGTTTCGGATTTTCCTCTATAATTTCCAGACACATCTGTTCTAGCTGTTTCTCATCTGATATCAGGAACAAATCGTGCTCTTCAACGATCTACGAATAACAACCAAAGGCAATCGCGTGTAAGTTGAAAAAAAAGTTCAAATTGTGAATACTTTTGATGAAAAAGTAGGATTTTTACCTCTTTTGGTCGTTTATTCGGATTGGTTATTAACTCCTTCAGAACCCTCTTTGCCGTTATTAAATTAATTGATTTCTCTTGTAACAAATCGATTATTTGACCAATAAAATCTTCATGTGGTATACTGAAAATTCATTAGGTGAGCATTCTTCGATTCAGACTTTACATTGTCTTGCTTAATAATAAAAAAAAGAGACTTACCAAAATTCGATCGTTAAATTATTTTTATTGACAAAAGTCAACAGATCCCTGACGAGAAACTTCGCAATCAATTGCGGCTCGCGATTCTCTTTTTTTCTTATTCCATTAAATAATTCCAACAATGTAAAGTCACTCTAAAAAATATATAAAATATGAAGCACAATTTTTGTACTCGCTTCGTTACAGAGTATCGCGATTTACCATTAGAGCCACGATTATTTCAGGAGATATCCGGAGAACATCCTTTAATCTCCGACGTATCTGTTCCGGTAACTCGGGTAGTTGTCTTCGCAGTACTACAGCGTCGACCAAATTGCTTGCATTCGGTAAATCTTCTCTGAGATGTATGCATAAAGGTGGCAAATTTGTTTCAGGCATAAATCGGTAATCCTGAAAGTGTTGGAGGCAAATTCAATAATGCCACGACAACGGAGCAGCGACATAAACTCGAAGCATCGTATTACTTCTTTGTCTTCTTTCTCGCGCATAGGGATAGTTATCTTGTTCGCCGCGTCCCACGCGCGAGTCTCGTTGAACATCTCGTCACCGGCCTCGAGGACAGAAATGTGCCTGTTTATCTCGTACTGAACAGCCGCAGCGACAGCACGCACGCTTCCAATATTTTTTATTTCCGTTCGTACGCCTAAATCGTCGCAGTCGCTCACGGAAACGTTGGCGTCCACGCGAAGTGCACCTTCTACAATTTCAGGATAGTAAAATATATTCAAGTTTGTACACATGAAGAATAATTCGAAAGCGGCTTCTGCAAACGACCTTCCATTTTGCCGCTGCAAACACCCAGTAACTGCAAGGTAAATGCGAGCTCCTTGACGAGCGCGGCCGCTTCCTCGCCGTCGACCAAATCCGGCTCAAACACGAATTCCATCAAGGGCATTCCGGCGCGATTAAGATCGATCAGGCATCTATGAAGATACCAAAACGTTCGGTCGAAACGTCGTCTCAATTTTTACCAACTCGCGAATAAAATCGAGCAGCGATCGGCACGACCGATACCTTGCCGAATCTTCATTGTGCAAGCTCCTGCCGCTGTCTTGCTCCAATTGGATCTGCTTGATTCTGGAGGACTTGAGGTACGGGTACTTGTGCAGCCCCGGGGTGAACACGTGAAACTTAACTTCGCCATCGACCGCGATGGGACGCTCCCGTTGAGTGATTTGAAAGCCCGCCTAAGTAATTTGCAGCTAATAAGTGACAATAACGCCAAGTATCTGTTCCTGCGAAAGCCTTATCACTCACAGGCAGATCCGCGTAGAAGTAGTGTTTCCTTTCGAACAAGGAGGTCTCGTTCAGTCGGCAGGACAGCGCCAGGGCGGTCGTCACCGCCGATTCCACGCATCTCCTGTTCAACACCTGCGACACACATTCGTGTCTACGACAATTAATATTTACTTTGCTCGGTTAATTGTTCGTGGGGCGCTCGTCAACTTACGGGCAGCGTTCCCGGCGTGGCGCAGTCGAAGAACGAGACGCACGAATTAACCGGGCTGGCGTATTTGGTGAGCGCGTCGGAGAACAGTTTCGATTCCGTGGCGATCTGAGCGTGGACCTCTAATCCCACGGTGGGTTTCCATCTCTCCCTTGATTACCGGAAAAAGAGGAAAATACGATTAACGACTCAACTGCGATCACTGTCGAAATCCCAGTGAGAAACGACTCGTCGGTTGATGAAGTCGACGAGCCAGTTCTCGCTGGGATATCGTCGACGTTTTACGAGCGACATGCCTCGAAGGCACGTAACATGTGTAAACATTTGACATAACAAAACTGTAGAAAATTGCTCGACTACCCGTGGCTGGCGAATTTTAATTGAAGAGATTCATTGCGAAAAATATTACCTCGGCCAGGGTTTCTCGCAATGAGTTTCTTCAATCAGAATTTGCCAGCCGCGGGTCGCCAAGCAACTTTCTACGTTGGTTAATCAATCACTGGCGTTAAAGAGTTCTTTACGTTATCCGACATAACCTAGTTGCTCACCGTACTTTTGCGTCTTTTTGAGTCTTGGACGAGAGGGACCGCCGTGAAAGGTAGTTTCGCCTTCGAATCCATTTATGCGCCAAGACGAGGTACAATCGCCGCCTTGACAACATTTTTCATTGAATCTCCCGACACCAGGCTCAAAAGAGAAGCCGCGAGCTCTCCTCGTGGGAGAGAAAAACACGATTCGGAGTCGCCAATTACTGCAGGGAATTTCATACGTCGCGCTCCGGTCGTTGACCCGCCATTTTGAGTCATTCTTTAAAACTGTAGCTACAGTTGTATACGTACATAAACGCTTACCCCTGGTCCACAATCTTGCTTTAATTAAGCTGTAAGCTTCAAGCCGTAAGAAATCAACCAATCACAGATGAGAATGAGAGGAATAAATGCCTGTGATTGGTTAATTTCTTACAGCTTGAAGCTTACAGCTTACTTAAAGCAAGATTGTGGACCAGGGGTTAGCTATACAGCGATTCCTTTGTCAGGATCTCTACGGCCGTAGCTACACAAATACGATTCTAAAGACGTTCAAGGCCAATTTCACAAACGTCGGTTAATCCGAGTTCGGTCAACCTTCCCCATCTTTTTCCATTTCTAAAAAGGAACAGAGAGTCAATCAACCTTGGGCGAGCAGTCAACCGATGTTTGTGAAACTGGCCCTTAGCCGTAGCTTGCGTCTTATCCAGAATCGACAATCGAACGCGGCTCGGCTTTCTAGGAGAAATAAGGTGGCTCACGTGTGTGGACAGTTACTTTAAACAACTTATGTTTATTTCGTGAACGTAGAAAATCTGCTTACGTAGAAAATTTATCGTGCGATGCAAGTTATACGTTAGTTTTTTTTCTTTAACAATTAGAATAGAAACCGTCGTTCTATTACTCGTTGATTGTTGCTTCAACAACTTTATGACCTTTTTACAAAACGTTTCGTTGATATTGCCGCTGCCTAACGCTCCCGTTGTCCAGGATGCCGTTAGGCAGTTTATCTTCGTTGGTGCCGCGCCATCCGTCACGGGGAAACCAGCCGGAGGCGGCTGTCAAAGCCGCGCGGCTGCCGCAGAGAGATCGTTTTGTACGAAATAAAGAGATCATAAAGAATAACGAGGCTGTTGGCGAATGCTGAGGATTTATTCGGTGGCGTCGTCCTTAGACACGCTGAATGGCTCCGGCACAGTCTCCGCGCCGCTGTCGGCGATCATCACGTCCTTCTGCGGCTTGTCCCGCGAGTCCGTCTTCGTTTGCTCAATCTTTCGCACTATATCCTGCAACGGAAAGGCGATCGTTAGACAGGGTGTCCCATTTTAAATGATCCGCGCAAACATCTCCCAAAGTATGAAAGATATGGAAAAACGTTTCAAACAACAGCTGTTTGGTTCGAAGGGGACATAAGGTGCCATTGACTTGGAGTTATTTAAAGATCACCTTCAATTTTTTTAAATGGAACTCCCTATTGTTGATTATACTGTCTTATTCTACTAATTAATATGAACAACTTTTGTCCGAAACATTTTTTTATTTGCCTAATACTTTTTGAGATATTCCAGAGAAAATTTGTGACTTTTTCAATGTTACGGTATCTCGACAACTGTTTGTCGGAGGGAAAAGTGGCGCAGGACTTTTTTACTTGATTTGATCTCGGGAGTAATGGCTTCCGGATGGTTACCGTAATTAAACATAATTGCTAACTTGTAACTGTATAACTAGTTACATTTTTAGCGAAGAACTGTAACGGTAACTAGATACTTTTATAATGTAGTAACTTTCCCAACCTTGTAGAAATGTGGGTAATTGTTAAAAATCGAGACATAAATATATTTCGCGGTTATTGGCATTGTCAGTAGTAATGGCTTCCTGGTTACCGCGTTCGTTTGCTGCGAGGTGCCGATGTATCGCAAACATTGCAGTTCGATAGTATCAAAGCCTCCCAGTCCTGATGATGCAAACTGCAATGTCTGCGAAACGTCGGCACCTCGCCGCAAATGGACGCGGTAACCATCCAGAAGCCAATACTACTGACGATGTCAATAACCGCGAAAACCTGAAAGACACGATATATTTACGGTTTCGATTTGTAACATTTACTAACATTTCTACAAGGTTGAGAAGTTACTTATAAAAGTAGCTACAGTTTTGTCGCTGAAAATGTAACTAGTTGCGGTTACAAGTTACGAATTCTGAAAAGTAACGCGTTACAAATACAGTTACTCAAAAAGTAACGAATCGTTACTTTGCAGTTTTACTTTCCTGCAGGAAAAATAAAAATATCCAATCTGTATTTGAATTGTAGAGTGTCGATAAAGGCGTTTATGCGCCTTTATAGAAAAATAATTTTGAACACGTGCAGCTGCGCACTTGATTCGTCAGCCCCTATAATATTTATATTATCAAACCTTTAACACAGAAGTGTTAAATTTAACAATTACATTGTATTTTTATTAAGATTTGAATGCATATGCGTTATTACTTATTAGATTCCGCGGCGCGTTAACTGTGCTCCATTCTTTGTGTGCCTCTTGGCGCCAATTTAGTTTAATTGAAAAATTGTATCGCAAGTCATCCATAACGGGACAAGCAGTTACCATTCCTTTGATGATTTTGCCAAAGACGACGTGTCTACCGTCGAGCCACGGCGTTTGCTTCACCGTGATGAAGAACTGAGACCCATTGGTGTCCTTGCCGGCGTTGGCCATGGACAGCCACCCGGCGCCGTAGTGCTTCAGCTTGAAGTTCTCGTCTGCGAAGCGATCCCCGTAGATGCTGCGACCTGGAGAGCGGATCAAGGATCATTAGTCAAATATGCAGGCCCGCAACGTGCCGGATTAACTGACGATAAAGACCTCCAGTGCCGTCTCCCTTGGTGAAGTCTCCCCCCTGGATCATGAAGTCTTTGATCACTCGGTGGAACTTGCTGCCTTTGTAGCCCTCACCCTCCGGCATCTTGGCGAGCTCGACGAAGTTCTTCACCGTCTTCGGGACGGTCTTGCCGAACAGGCCGATCTCCACTCTGCCAGCGTCGACACCGCCGATCTTGATGTCGAACCATACCTAAAAATCGGGCTCATTAATTGGACGTCTTCGTCGGACGCGAGTACGGCGTGCACGCGCACGCCGGACAAAGGCATTGCTCGTGAGCGAGTGACGCGCGGATCCTCTCCGTACGTGCAACATAAATATATCTCGCGCCGGCGGCAGAACGGAGTGCCACGTATTCACGGCTTATCGGTTCATCCGCAGTATCGTCGGCTTATCGGATTCTCTCGCGTGATCCCGCACCTCGCGGCATAACCCGCGCGTTTATACCTTGTCGGTGACTTTCGGCCCGTTGTTCGCGCAGGCGACAGCGGCTACCAAGCCCAGGAACAACAGCAGCCTCATGGTGAAGCACGGCGAATACGGAGAACGCGCGAGCGAAGGTACCGCAACTGTGCCTGGCTGCCGCGGCGGCCTGTCAGAGTGGACCGCTCACCCGGAATCCGGCGACCGGATGCGAGCGCGCTCGAGTACGCGTGTGCGCGCTTAGAAATGTGGGAGCGTCCAATTGGCCCGTTTCCCCGGCGGTGACGTAGCCCCCGCCGCCGCGGGCCCGCGAACGCGAGACTGAATGAACAAGATGATGAATTCAGTCGGGCCAATCTGGTTAATGGACAGCTCTGTAACTTCAATTCGAGCCCACGGATATGTGCGGCAAATTGATCATTTTCAATTCCAATAGCCTCCCTTCGATCGAGCCGACGGTTCACCCGGGGTCATTGACTGGGGGGGGATCTCGGATATTCTTGGCTCGATCTTACAGTTAAGATTGTTTAACGATCTCGTGAAGCTGCACGATCGCTTCATGGTCCATTTACCGTTGTCACAGTTCCATTTAAAATGATCTTAACTACAAGATCGAACTGTACCACCTTCAGAAATATTAGCAGTTCGAAATCGCGAGGAGCTATCCTTTGTTCTCCTCGCGCCTGCGTCAATTCCGTATCTTACAATATAGTGAAAATGCTAAAAGTGAGTGGCTTTGTCTCCTTCCAACTGTCCTCTTAGAAAGAGACAAAACCGCTCACCTTTAGCATTTTCACTGTAGCGCAAGATACAGAATTGACCCCAGGATGATCGCCGATTACGCGGCGTCCAGAACTCGAGTGCTCGCTCGTTTGGCAATTTGACACGTTCGGACCTCGGGAACCATCGGTGAAAACAATCAAACCGCGTTAATTTCTAATGTACGCATGCCGAGTGTTCCTTTTAATTTTGTCAAACTTATCTCGGGCTATTTAAATAAGTAGAATTTTTTGTGATAAAGAAAGTCGTAGGTTTTGGAATTTTTGGGGAATTCTTCAACCGAATGTGGAGAAACACAAAGCTTCTTCAACTCTGTCTTTGGATTGTCTGAAAGTAGTTTTTCGCAGTACAAAAACTACTAAATTATTTCATCAAGAAGATTAGCAGAGTGTTACAAAAGTAGATTTGTCGGAGTTTAAGTTTCTTTCGACACGACTCAGACGCGAAAGGCGCGGGCTTCGAGAGATCGTGTTACGCTACTGGTGAGCGCAAAGCGCGAGGTGTTGCGAGATCACTCGCGCGAAAGTTCACAGGTGTCACGAAGTACAATTTTTAAGACATACACAGCAGGCTAAGTGGCGCTGCCAAAGCCTTTCTTGTTTTTAAATAAAGAGACATTCCTAGTTCAAGTAGTGATGAAAGATAGAGGAATAAACTCGCATTAAAACGTATGTACACACGTACGTGCATACATGTTACAATACAATATTGCGAGATTAGTCCCCGCGTAGCAAAGACGTAAGAATAATTAAAAAATTAGCAAATAACATAGTTTAAAGACAAAAAATTAAATCGATTAATTATTTCATTAATTATACATACATACGTTTATCGCAAAGATGAGGAAACTAAAAAAAATCGACCAGTGATTTTATCAGAATCACGTACAAATTCTAAATATACGATAAATGATTTAAATATAATTAATATAAAAATATATTTATAATGAAAATAATACAACTTTAAAAAATAACATATTATAGACACTATAATATTGTATTGCCGAAAAGTCTCGAGGGCATCGCGCTTCTAAATACGAGAATTTCGGCCGATTCGTCCGACATCGAACGTTGCTACGATTGAACCAATCGACGTCAACAAGTCAACTGTTGTATATCTTCCGATGAAAATATCACGACGACGATTTGTCGCTTACGAGTATACAGTACAGACGAGTGTGCGAAAGTGAAATTTCCTTTTGTATTCATATGTCCATAATCAATATCTTCCTTTTGTGTAATCGATCGTAAGTTCTCGAACGAAGACAAAACAGCCTCCTAGTGAGAGAGGGAGATCGAAAAGGTGCCTATTAGACGGCTCCCAAACAACACGTATGTCTAAAAGACATCTTTAAGGTGTCTTTATGTC